ACAATTTGTGTTAAACCTTTCTTTTCCATGTGTGAAGTGGGACCTGAATACATTGCACCGTTTGGTTGTGCATATCCACTGAACATGCTGTTCTCTGCTATGCGATTATGGAAAACTGCCCAAATTTTTCTCTGACTGCTGCTGTACAGATGCAGGCAGGGTAGCAAGTACAAGCTCGTTAGGACAAAGTTGTATTCTGAAAGAGAATAAGCACTGTAAGCAGGCATCTGTAAACAGATGTTCTTTATGGTGCAGAACTGACTGAGTGCAGGCTCTTCCTTGTCCACCCAGCCAAAGCTGCCTTTCTGTTTGATGTGGTCACTAATCCTGACACCCTTTCTCCCAGTTTTGCTGGTCCTATGCACCTTGGCTTGCTCCCTAAATGTCTCACTGCTGCCGGGTCCTGAACCAATCAAAATCTGCACAATGTCCCTTTGTTCCTGTCCGGAGCACACTGGGGCCCTAGATGCAGCATCCCTTTGGAAGGCAGACACCAGCAGGCTGCACAGCGGGATAATTTACCACTAGATGGCTGGACCTCCTTTTTGTCCAGCTCTCAGTTTTGTTCCCAGCTCAGTGATCGTGCTTAGCCCAGAACAGTGACGGTTGTAAATTCTCTGCCCACTAAATTTTAACATTTTTAAACAGCTGATGCTTTTAGCAGATTTAGCTTCATAATGAATAGTTCAAACTTTTGAAAAGTACTGAAATAGCTGTGGTAATATCTAAGAAAATCAGCTTTCTGCTTTTTTGCAAGACAAAAAGGAAAAGCTCCCTAGTCCTGTTCTTGATTTTTTTTCCTTTCCATGCATAATACAATTTTTACTGAGTCTTATTTCGTAGGTGTATGCATAAGTGGGACACATTTAACAGTTCATCACTCAGACTAGAACACAGCATCATAGTGTCCTGAATAGTCACAGCCACATGCTTTGATCTGGTGAATTTGCTGATATAAAATCTGTAAAACTTTTAGACACTGACATACATGTCACTGTGATTTGGGGCAGTAATGTCTTTCCTTTAAGAAAAATTATTTTGCCCACAGTCAATAGCTTCAAAAAATTAATATCTCTGGATAAAAAAATATCAACTTTCCTGATGATTGCAGACTAATACATTATACAAGAGCAAGAAGGCCCACTTCAAAAGGAAGAATTTTCCTGCCTGAAAGCAGACAAGAGGAAAATAATCTGTTTCTTGAAGATACCACTTTTTCCCCTTTTCACTCTTTTCACATTTTCAGCTCTGTTACTTGTATTTACTAGGTTCACATCGTGTGTCTATAGATGTATTTGCATCCTGAGTTCAAAACAAGAGAGAGGTATGTTTTAAAATTGAAATTATTTTAGCTGTTTTGCTGTCACAGCACTGGCACTTTGCTTGCCACTTGCAAGAACAAGGAGGAGTCCCTGCTTTCAAGGTAATATAATCTAAAATATCAAACCTAGAAATCATAGGGCACATTAACACCTTTGTGGGAGCCTGAATATGTACCTAAAGATGATGATACATGAAATAGTAAGATGGAGATTAATCTACAAATAGTTCTGGGTTGGTTTTTCTTTGCTAAGTAGCAGTCTCTCACTGTTTAATTTTCTTAAAGCATTATGACAGAGAAAAAAAAAAAGTTGATGGTTTAACTAGTGTGGTGGAAGAGCAGGAAATTAAAATAAACTCCACCCATCAAGACTCACAGAGAAACACAGGTAGTGAAGCATATAGCAAATGATGAGCTCCTGAATAAATAGACTTCAAAAGTAATTGTTCAACCCAACAAGAATATTACTGGCTATTCTGTTCTTGTCTGCAGGAAGGTTTCTGGCTTTGTTAATGCAACAGAAGAGAGTAAGAAAGGCTTGGAAATTTCCATTTACTGGACTTGCAAACAAGTAAATTGTAAATTTTTTTAAGTGCTTTCTTTTTGCAGATGCCTGAAGGGAAACATGTGCAGATTATTTATGAAGAACAACCTCATATTTGGAAGTAGTCCAGAAACAAAGTCCTATTTGATCTTGTCACAAGCAGAATGTTGTTACTGAGCACAGAATGTCAGATATAGCATAATCACAGGCATTGTGTATTCCTCCTATGACACTGTGGGAAGCAAAAAGCCACGGTTTGTAATCACTCTAGTAGTGCTATTTTGTGCCTTTTGGGAATGCTTAAATAAACTTATTTTGTCTTATTCCTAAGCAAGTCCACTGATATAAGTTATACAGAATACTACTGTAAAATATCTGTTCACTGCTGCTGTTACAAGTGCTATGTATGCTGTGGCAGCTCTGCATAACATCTGAGAAATCAGAAGTGTCAATACCAAAGGTAAAGGAAACTGTTATCTTTGATCCAGGTAGGTGGTAGCTGTCACTGGATGTGAATAGAGAAGGCAGGTTTGAAGAACCAGACACAAAATTGTGAGGAAATCAGTTTAAACGTATCACCAACCTTCCTCTGGGATTATCAGCTCACTTGCACAGTCCTAATAAACGGCTAGAGGCCCTGGATGCACCTGTCATGTAGTCTGACAGGAGACACCAATGTCACACCAGAGATGGCAGCATTTTTGTCACTTCTTTCTATAGCTCAGATGAGCAAGCCTGTTCCCAACAGAGGGTAGGAGGTAGCTCCCTGCACCCAAGCTGCACTGCATATCTGAGTCCTCTTCTAGTAGGTGCTGACCTCCTTGTGCAGCTCATTGCTCTCTCCAGAGGGTTTTGGAGCAGCTCTCTGCTGTGAAGGCAAAGACATAGAGTCCCTTCAGATCACAGCATCTCTATAACCATTTGAATCAAAAAGCAATGAGAAAAATGTTGCTTGGATTTGAAATCAGAGTTTTTTGTACAAAAAAACTTTGCACAAAAAAGCTTTTTCAGCTTTTTCCACTCTGCTCTCAGTAAGACAATTAAGCTCCTGCCTGCACAGAGATCTGGGGGCTGAACTCCTGACCAAGCTGGCCAAAAAGGTATTCCAATGCCTTTTACCTCAATTATTGGCTAGGCCGTGGTGGAAAACTCCTCTAGAAGCTGGACTCTGAGATTAATTGCTCTGCTAGCCTCCCTTCCTACCACTCTGGAAGCAACTTAAAGCTTACAACAGCCAGACTTGCAGTCGTGCTCTCTCTCATCCCACCACCTGCTTGCACTCCCTGACCTTCTGACAGGTTTGCAGATGTTCCTGGAAAGAGGTGCCAAAATGATTCCTGAGGGATTGTTCTTGCAGTAAACTCTGATCCAGGCTCCCAGGATAAACAAAAGTTTTCAGGGGGAGGATGGGAGAAGCTCAGGTGATTTAGGCCCAAGTAAAAGAAACCCTTGAAGGGAAACATTCTCTTAGATTATTTAAAATAATGGATTTGCAGAAAATCTTATCGCCATTGAAAACATACTCAGAGGAAATTGTCACTCTCCTGAGTGGTATTACAGAGCAAACACTGTACATTAAACCTCTGAGTTGAGTGTGTCCTGTATTGTCTGATGAAGAATAACTGAAAGCAACTCAGAGGGCCTTGAAAAACCTACTGGACCTTAAGAAAATCATATGGTGTTCTCTTATAGGATAAACACCACTTGTCCTGTTGGACAGAGTATCATCAAGAATTATACCTGAACCTATATGCAAGCAATAGTCCACGTTTGGGAAGTGAGAAGCTCCCAGATTTGCAGAGTTTGTCCAGTGCTTTTAGCAATACGAAGTGAAAAAGATAAATTTGGCACTTACTGGAGTCTAAGTTTATATCCATTTTAATGATCATGGTCCAGTAGTACCAGTAACGGCAGAGGAAGTGACTACCCACACTGATTGCAGTTATCCCTAATTTAGGACTGCAAATCTGTGTCTCTTTTTATAGAATAATGCATATGTTCTATCTCATTAAACCCTGACACTGTCGTGTCCATAAAATGGTTGTAAGAACTACTTCATAATTAATGACCTTTGGAGCGAGTTTGGTTGTATGAGTGCTTGGAGCCACACCTGCAGCCACTGTGTGAGAGTGAGCTATGGACCAGGTATGTTATACTACTCCTGCTTCAGTGCTGTACAGACTTGTCAGGGGATAATCCCTGATAAGAAAGAGCTCTGTTAAAAACTCCAGAGCAGGGGCTTGCTGAGGCACAGCATCCACCCCAGAAACAGAGCTGTGCGTCAGGATGTTTGCCCCAGGCGGTGCAGCCACAGCGCCCGCCGCTCCTTCGCCCCTGCCCGCACAGCCGTGGGCAGGAAGCGTGCCACCACTCCCACCCCTTCCTCTCACAGGGAGCAGACACAGCAGCTCGAGGGGTCTGGCGCAAAAAGAAATAAAGGCTCGGATACACGTTGTCTTGAGAAAATAAAATCAGACAGGATGCAACTGGTTATTGGTTGTTATTTGGTATGCCTTAGCTTCAGTTTCTGGCCTCTAACCCTGTAGATGTATAGACATGCTTCATGCTTTGTGAGTCATCCTAATAACAACGTTGTTGTTATCACATTATAATGATGTTGGGTTGGTCCTGCAAGATGATATTATTATCCAGTACTGAGAGCTAAGTTTCATATGAAAAAGCAGCTCAATACTCACCAGTGTTACCCATAACAGTAATTAGTCAGTACTTGCACTTGTTATTCTTGAGGGAGGCTGAAGTCATGTTCACATCTGGGGCAGAGCATATACTTCCACCAAGGCAAATGCAACTTGTATCACTACTTGAGTTTAGTTCTATAAAATTCTTATCTCAGAATTCCTTCTAAACCTAAACAATGTCCCCTCATCAATGCTTACACTTTTGCTAAGCAGAAAACAAAGTGTTTTTATGGTTGCAAAACTAGAAAATGAACCCAAATGGCATTATCAGCTAGTATGTTATTTAATTTAAAAATATTCTGAGGTAGATAATACCCCTGACTCTACAAATCTTGCCTGTGAGAAAGCTCTATGGTTTCCTCATGGAAAAAGATTGCTATCCTATGAATTCCAACTAAAATGGAATGCCTAGGAAATAACTAGGCTTTGGACACGGACCTTTTCTTAGATCACAGCTCTTTATCTCAGTGCATGGGTATGAGGTGAGATTGGCAATGGGATAACTCACAGAACTACAGCCTTCACTGTGCTGCTCTGCCATTTCTCTTCTTGAGCCACTCCCGCTTGCATTTCTTTTTCCCTGGAAAATGTCAAAGAATTCATAGATCAAAAAACAGGAGCTGACACAAAGACAGAGGTACTGGATCTAAGGAATGATTGATTTGAGGAATTGGGTTGAGGACTCTTTACTCGGTGGGCAGTAAGAATTTCAGAGTCCACAACTATATCTCTTTTAAGACACGAACTTCTCAAACTCACCACACTTATTAATACTAGAGCTAGCCAGTCTTTAGTCAGAAGAAGTCCATTTATATCTGCATCTTAGAGATGGGAAGCAGATTTAGTCATTCAGATGGGACTTTTTCTCAATGTCAGTAGCAAATCAAAGCATTCCTGGTGTTATGAAGCACTGTGCTGCTAGAACCAGCTTTGTCATTGAAATACCGCCCATTAGTACTCCTGTGCCTTGTCAGATGAATTATGAACTGATGGAATTTGAATAACTGTCTTGCCCTTCTGCAAGAAAAGGTAATATTGCTCCTGCTTAGTATCGCCTCAGGCTTTTGTGCCAAAACATCACAGTAGAATTCAGTGTTGACTGGTAACTAACAGTGAATTTAAAGTGCTGTCACAGTCATCTTGCTCAGCTTCCAGGCCTAGATGGCCAAAGCATGTAAGAAGCAATCCACAAGAGATGGCACAAAGCCGAAGGACAGGGATTTTTTTTTATCCCTGTTTGTTTGGGACAGAAGGCAAAATGCGTTTGCAAAGCAGAGAGGCTGCTGCAGGTGCAGAACACTCTGCTACAGCTGGCATTCTGAAAGATCAATTACCTACCCCAAAGCTGTTCTGCTGCCTTTGCTATCTGCTTGCTTATTACACACAAAGTGAATTAAAAAGAGCAGGGTTCTGTGTTCAATACCCTCTTCAAGTGAACAATCTAACCCTTAAAACCAGACATCCTTAAGATGATCAGATGATAGGACAATGTGAAATGTTTTTGGCTCTAAGAGGACACTTGGAAATCATAACACTATGCTCAATTGAGAAAGCAAGTGAACTCATAATATGATGCTATAAATGATGTAGGTTGCACTTCTTTTTGAGTCGTTGGGAATTAATGGATTGAAAGGTAAAACATCTGATATTGTTACTGAATTTATCATAATAAATATTACTCTGCAATATTTTGCTCCTGCCTGTGAAGAATTAAAATGATAAAGGGTTCCAAGATGTGATGTTAGGAGCATGTTATGACAGTAATATTATAAATGTTTGTACAGGTTGTCACCAATATTTGAAGCCACTTGTAAAAACAGCACCTTAATACAATACATTATTATCATACCCCACTGTAAGTGGTGATGTGCCTTTATCCACTGTTACAGAACGTGTACATTACTAATTATTCAACCTTTTCTACCCTCTTCCCACGGATGGTCTTGCAAAGACAGCATTAATAACAGACACAGGGATAACACTCGTGATAAACTATACAGTCATGGTTAAAGTGTATGGATGTGTTGCATTAATTTCTCATTTACCAAAAACATTGCTTATTTGCATGGATCCATTTCAGCAGATGCTTTTTTTCCTCATCATCTACCAGATGCAACAGACAAATATTTCTCTTTGCTCTCAAAAAAGACTCACAACAAGGCCCCATAACTGATATGATGTGATCTTGAATCAAGACTGTCTTCCATAGTTCTACTGGTATCATGCTTCTGAAGTGTGTTGCCTTGCAGTCCTGTAGAGATGGGAAATGCATTTTATTATAAAGAAATTTCCATCTATTGAATCAAAAGTTATACTTGCAGAATCACATAAACACAAAATCAGTTAGGTTAGAAAAGACCTCCAAGACTGAGTCCAACTTTAACCAATCCCAACCTTGCCAACCAGATCGTGGCACTAAGTGCCACATCCAGGCTTTCCTTAAACGCCTCCAGGGGCGGCGACTCCGCCACCTCCCTGGGCAGCCCATTCTAATGTTTAACAACCCTTTTTGGAAAGGAATCCCTCCTAATGTCCAACTTAAATCTCCTGTGGCACAGCTTGAGGCCATTTCCTCTCATCCTGCTCCTTTTCAGGGAGCTGTAGAGAGTGATAAGGTCACCCTTGAGCCCCTTCTTCTCCAGCCTCTCTCTTAGAGCTGGACCAGGAAATTTTGAAGGCTTGATCCATTGAAATGACGACATCCTTTGTTGTCAATAAATAAATAAATATTATTTTAAATAAATAAATGATAAATAAATAATAAAGAAAGATTATTCACTAAATAAAACCTATTAATTATGCTGTTAATGCCAGACCATGTGCATTCTGAATCACAAACAACATATGAATACAACTAAGCCACATAACTTTACAGCTGTCAGGTTCAATATAAACTCAGGAGATGTTAAAATATAAACCCTAGCAATCATTGTAAAATGGTTCTTCCTGCGCGTGTGGCGCATACGAGATTATGTGGGAGGCGATCTGACGGCGCCCATTGAGAACAACCTGCACGGTGCGATTACGGTCTTGCTCCTCCTCATTACCGCAGCCAGCCTGGAACCGGCGCTGCCCTCCCGGCAGCTCTCCCGCTGTGGAGCGGTGTCCTCCGTGCCAGGCGGGGCCAGTCCTCGCTGTCTCGGCTTTCCCCGGCCTGCGTCACCCCTGGGCCGCCGGAGGGGAGGGACGGGTGGCTGCAGGCACCGGGAGCTGAAGCCCCTCAGCCCGGCACACCCGGCCCGGGCGGAGCCTCAGGGCCGCTCCCGCCCCGCCCCCTCGCCGGCAGGCCTCGCGCTGTCGGATTGGCGGGGAGCGGTGCCAATCACCTCCCGGGGCGGGGTGGGGCGCGCGGCGGCCCTTGGCGCTGAGGGGGCGCGCGGCTCCGGCCTCTGCCCGGGCCGATCCTGCCCCAGCGGCTCCTTTCCCGGCGGCTGCCCCGCTCCTTGGCTCTCTCTCCTGCCTCCCGCCGCGAGCAGCCGGGGCCTCCTCCATGCGGGAGAAGAGGAGGAGGAGGAGGAGGTGGGAGCTGCTCGCCGGCCATCCCCGGCGCCCGGCAAGTCGGAGCCGAGCCGCCGCCGCGCCGCTCCTGCCGCATCTCCCCGCGGCGCGGAGCCGGCCCTGAGCTCTGCTCGCCGCGCCGCCCCCGGACCCCTCCTCATACTCTTGCACCCACCCTCCTTCTAGTCTTCCCAGACCCCTCCTCCTAGTCTTCCTCCTTTTTGTTTGTTTGTTTGTTTTTAATTTTTCCCCCTCCCCCCTCCCCATTTGGTTCTCACCCTGGCTGCGAGCAAAGTGTCTTCATGAGCGCAGAGGATGTCCGGAAAGCACTACAAGGGGCCTGAAGTCAGTTGTTGCATCAAATATTTCATCTTCGGCTTCAATGTCATTTTCTGGGTAAGTGGGGCCGGTTTCGTGTCTTCCTTTGCTTCCTCCTCCTCCTCCTCCCCGGCCTTCGACGCTGCCGGGCTGGGCACGGCCAGGAGCGACGTCCCAGGCGCGGAGGATTTTAGATGGGACGCGGGTGCGAGGCCAGGGCTGCCTCCGACCCGACCGCCCTGCTCAGCCCTTCCCCGGACAAGTTGTGGTGCTGCATTCCTCCACCTCCCGAGGGTGCCGGTTCTCTTCCCTTCCGGCTCCCCTAATTGCTTTTGTTGTTAGTACGAAGTGGATTTCGTGCCTTCTTTCCTCCTCCCCGTCTTTTCCTTTTTTCCTCTGCTTTATGGTGGGAGAGCAAGGGAGCAACCAGGCACCCAGGCCTGGAGAACGAATTGATCTGCATGTTTTCACACTGCCATCCCTGTTAGGTGGAAATAATAGAATCGCGGCTCAGGTTCTCTGCACAGTGCTGTTTAATGATTTGACAATGATGAAGTTATGTATCGCATAGATTTATTATGATTAGCTGTTAACACATAGTAGTAGTAGCTATAATAGGATGGAGGTGGGGGGAAACGGTATTTCCACCCATCCCTAAAGTGCAAGCCCGTAGGAGGCCTGTTTGGGCATTTGTTGGGATTCCTGGCTGCGCTTGCTTGATCTGCTTGCACAGTATCTTGTTGCACTATTCCCCACCGGCTGTGGAGTAGGCAGAACTGTACAGTGAAATGTAACCTGCCTGTAACAGTACTTCTAGCATCTTCTCAATGTGTTGGGTTTGAAAGAGAAGCAGCTCTTTTTGGATTTTCATACCAGATTTCATAACCACAGAGGGGGAGGTGGGGAAGGTGTTGAGCATTCTCACACACATGTGAGTGATAAGGTGTTCTCACTGCACAGAATGCTAAAGTCAGGTGAAGGCTCTTACGTGTACAGTTCCCCTTTTACGTGAGATACTCCACAGAGCAATGAGAAACATGCACAAACCCAGATTCACAGAATATTCTGATTTGGAAGGACCCACCAGGATCATCGAGTCCAGCTCTGTATCAAACCCAGATAGTGTGGTTGTGTTTTTGAGGGCCTTTGGAAGCAAGTTGAATACATATCTGGTATAGTTGCTTCTTTGGTCTAGAAAGGAGAATTGGGGAAAAAAGCCCCACCACCACCTTGAAGGTTATGGAGGAAGGTAGGGAAGAACAGAGGAAAGAAACCTTTTAAGCAGTACTGAGCTTCTGATTGTTCCCTTGGGGAGAACTGAGGTTGGTGGTTACATACATAGCAGGTATCCACAGCTCACCTCAGGTCTGTGCTCCTGGAAGATAAACATATCTGAAGAAGATGTTTTGAAAGGATGGGAGTTTTGATGAAGTCCACTTTTATACTGTATTACCTTTTCTTTAACAAGAAGATATGTTCCCAGAGTGAACCTGACTGTGGCTTTATGTCACTGTTTACTTGGCCCCAGACCGACCCCTGCAGATGACTGGTAGCAAGCTTTGTAGTATTCTGACCCTACAGAGCTGTTGTGATTGTACTCTTGGCTCAGTTTTCGGTGGTTGAGTTTGCCATGGTTCTTTGCCCTGGTCTGTTTCTTTGTTTTGATTCTGCTGGGCATATGTTGCTGTGAACACAGATATTTTTTCAGCAGGGAGCAAGTAGTGTGAGGAACACTTGTGTGCTGTGCCCTTGGACTGAGAGAGCGAAATCATGGTGGAATATATATATAAGCATGTTAACTTGCTCGTTCAGACACTGTCAGTGTCTCAGAAGCTCTATATCCTGTAATTTCCTTCATTGTATTATCTGAAGGTGAATGTGTGGATGGTGCAAGTGGGGAAGTGATTATGTTTTAGGTTTTCTGTAACTAGTGTTTTTCTTACTCCTGTGTTCCCGAGGCTGATGCAGTGTAGCTTCTGCATGATGGCAGGTGTGCCTGTGTTGTAACTGAACAAACTGAACTGGGCCAAAGGCCCAGGCTTTGTACTGCTGGAATGCTGATCTGAAGGCCTCGAAAAATATAATTGTGTATCACCCATCTGCCACGTGCTTGATGTGAGGCCCTTGCTTGTTGATTTCCTCTTTTGCAAAACTCTAATTGTCTCATTTGTGTTCCTGGCTAAACTTCTTGAAATGCATGAAGACCAGGGACTTTGAGAGTTTAGTAATTTCTTTAGAATATTGTCATCTCTTTATGAGAAAGCCTGCATTTATTACCATGTCTCTCATGATTTGGAGTGAAAACATAGGCAGATACTCCTGCTGAATGCACATTAATGTTGTTTTTACTGAAGTAATAGAAAGCTCTTCAATAACTGGGCCAGAAAAAGTGTGAATGAAAATTGCTAATCTGGTTGGTTGTTTACAGAAAGTGGTAATCAAAAAAGCCACTAATGTAGTCATTGTAAATAGATTGAAATGATGAAGAGGTCATTATATGAACCCCATGACACTTTCCAGGATCTTGCAAACAGGGAGCAGACCTTATTAGGCTTTCTATCTGAGCATTATTATATAGTGGTTTTAACACAATCTTTTAAAATATTAATGTAAACAAAGAAAATATCTGTATTTTGCACCATAAAACAATGGACTAAAAATAAAAAGAACTGAGTTGGAAGAGTAATGATTTTGACAAGAAAATTGTCAGTGCTTTGAATAGAGGAATATTATAGATCTGCTGAAATTATGCAGGGAATGATTGTACTTGCTAGTTAAACTAAAGTTGCTGCAAAAAATCTGAGGCTTTAAATTCCATAGGTTAGGGGCAAAGTAAATAGGCCTTTTTGTCTTTTTTGTTTTGTGCTGGTCAGGCATTTCATGCCTTAAATACCACAACAAAATTATTAGAATAATGAATATGGGGAAGTTGCACTCCAGTGCTGTGTGTGTAGTTGTGACAGATTGCTTTTCAGGAGGTAGTTCTCAGGCTTGCACCACCCCAGGTAATGTATTCTTGCCTAAATATGTGTTTTATACTGTTGTAGAAGACAATATTATCTGCCAAGTCTATGCATAATTAATGATATATTTGCAGGCTTAATTTATTTTGGCAATTCAGTGTTAAAGTTAGTAAATGCTCTGGAAATGCTTGTTCAGAAAAGCTTATTTTATGAGACTGCTCTGCTGTTGTGGAGAAGGAAAGCTCACTGGGCAGTCACTGCAGTAATATTTAGGAACAGAGAACTAATAGACACAAATGAATCTAAATCTAAAGCAGGAATCCGTAGAGTTTCCCTTTGCCGTGCTGCCGGTTGTGCATCGGGGCGCTCACCTGCGCTTCAGCCCCGCTGCCGTTCTGCCCGTGCTGAAACACCACTTGCTCCGTGTGCCGCCTTTCCCGGCTGGCAGCTGCTGCAATAGAAACTGCTCGCTCATGAGCCGTTCTGCTCTTGTCTCGGTAAAGCTGTAATATGAGGTAACAGAGAGCACTTTTCTGTACTCAAAGCGAGCAAACAAACAATGCCTCCTTCCCCCTTTGGCTTCCATATAGAATGATGTCAAGGTGTGGTGCAAAAGGTCAAAGCAGGCCACCCTGCTTCACCAAAGGCATGGACTATTTCGTCCTCTTTCCCCCTTACTGTGGGAAGACAGTTTTAGGCTGACTTTTAGTTCCAAGAGGTGTTTTTAATTGTTCTCTGTGCTTTTTTATGCTTGATGGAAACGGTGAATGTATACTATTGTTAAGGTCTAAATTTCAATCCACACTTGATTCCACTGGTGCTGGTCTAATTGGAAAGAAGTATAAAAAGCACTGACACCTCAGAAACTTTTGCTTTAGCTGGTGATTCGCTCTAAGTTATGGGCTATGCCGCAATTATGATACATCAGCATATTACGAATCATAACTTGTGTTTTAAATTGCTTGGCATCCGCTGTATTTGATGGCGGCCATATGGGGATCTAGGTAGTCTTCTGAATTACAGAAAGACAGCAGAAAGAAAATAAGGTTATGTAAGTGTGTTACAGGAAAAGTGTTGGACAAGTGTACTGACCTTTAAAGGACAACTGATAGATTGCTTATTAAATTTTGTACGTTGTTGGTAGTTTGTTTTTCAAAGGGGAGAGGATAATTCTTTGATGTCAGCTGGTTTTCAGATATCCACAAGGAAGTTTTGATTTTATAATTTTTCGCTTGCCACAGTGTTTAAAAAAAAACCCAAACAAATCAATGTGAAGCTTCTGTAGCATTTGATCTTTAATAATTTGCATTGGGAGGATGTCCTTGCAGTGGAAGTGGAAGCATTCTGTTAATTTCCTTCCTCTCCCCCTTTTATGATCAAATGACTTTTACTTTACATTTCTTAATAGCATAGATGAAGCATAGCTAAGCATTCCACCAGTGGTCTTGCCAGAAACAGAGCAATGCTTGTTTTGGGCAAGTACTCCTCTGGTTTGTAACTATGAAAGGCAGGGCTGTATATATTGATGAAATAGATGCATTATTGTGAGGTCGGCTTTCTTGAATTCCTCAGTATCTCTTTCAGCAGATGTAGCTTCAGTTTTTCAAATGCATATAAAAATTTAGTAACTGCTGGCTTTGGGGGACTTGCTTCAGATCTGTAGAGGTCATTCTTAGAATAAAAATTTTCCTTGCCTTGTGTTCCCTCACAACTTTGTGGTAGGCTGTATCATTGGTAATATAAAAAGAAATAGTAGAGGAGCATGGGAGAAATTATTTCCTTTCTCATCAATATTTGTTTTGCCAAAATTGGGTGTTTATAAATGTGTTACTTTTTGAGTTATTTGATGTTTTTAGTTTCTAAAAGATAAAAGAAACATAAGGGAACTAGAACTAGAGAAAACCCATTGTGATTGTGTGACTTCTCTTGCTTGATGTCAATGTGCATCCAGAGAGCATTATTGGAACTATCATGTGCAGCTTATATACTTCTGTGTTAAAGATGAATTTGGTAAATATATTTCCCAGTCCAGCACCTTGATTAAATTGTCACAGTACGTTTTTTTGCTGGTGGCACATCTGTACCGAAGTATGAAGAATCAATTTTGACTTTTCA